AGTAGTCACAATAACTAATCTAAAAGTAGTCACAGTTACTGGTCTGAGAGTAGTCACAGTAAATAATCTAAGAGTTGCCACAGTTACTGATCTGAGTGTAGTCACATAACTAATCTTAAGAGTAATCACAGTTACTGATCTGAGAGTAGTCCCAGTAACTAATCTAAGAATTGTCACAGCTACTGATTTGAGATTAGTCACAGTAACTAATCTAAGAGTTGTCACAGCTACTGATCTGAGAGTAGTCACAGTAACTAATCTAAGAGTAGTCACAGTAACTCATCTAAGAGTAGTCACAGTTACTGATCTGCGAGTAGTCACAGTTACTGATCTGAGAGTAGTCACAATAACTAATCTAAGAGTAGTCACGGTAACTGATCTGAGAGTAGTAACAGTAACTGATCTATAAGTAGTCACCGATACTGATCTGATAGTAGTCACAGTAATTAATCTAAGAGTAGTCACAGATGCTGATCTGATAGTACTCAAAGTAAAGGAGCTACCATTTGATTTTTATGGGGAGGGCTAGGATGAAATTTGAAAAAAAGGCAGGACAGGTGTTTTGAGTAAAAAGAAAAGGCAGGATGAGCGACTTTGCAAAAAAATAAAAAGCAGGATGACAATTTATGTAAAAAAAGTCAGGATAAACTAATTAAAAAAAAAAGGCAGGACCGAATAGAGTGAAAAATAAAATGACAGGACAGAGATTACAACTAAAAAAAATGCAGGACAAAATTTTTCATCCTAGCACCTGTGATTTATCTTTTCCCACCACGACTTCCATGAAAACTTCCAAGAATATAATAATGGATCCACAGTATTAGAAATTCAATTTGTACACTTAAATGGTTAAATCCACTGGTTGTGGTCAAGATTACAACATCATAAACCTGAATAAAAACTCCAGTACATGAATAACATGATAGAAATAAACCCTACACATGCTGGTTTACATGGAGAAATTTAAGAACAACGATAAAATAATTTGCCACATTCAATATTGTAAACCATTTCTTCGATGAACAAAATTGTTTACACTTTTAACCTTAGACGGATTTGGCTATTTTTTAGGTATTTTTTTGTCATATAGCTCTTCAACTGTTTCGCTTCTTATACATCCTTGGCTTTCAAATATTGGGCTTTGAGCGTTCCTGATGAAGATAAATCCAAAAAAGCGCTTCGGACTAATGAAATTATTTAACATGTTGTTTTCAATTTTTAAAACAGAATTTCTAATTATCTTATACAAAATGTGCTTCCGTCAACGCCTTTACACTCCAATAAAATTAGAAGCATTCAATTCTTTCATCGTACAAATTTTTATTGAACATTTCTTTACAAAGAAAACAGTAATTAAGGGTCCATGGCACAAGTTCATGAACTTAAAGATTACGAAAATCCATATAACTAATTTTAGAATGTATCGTTTATTATGCCTTTTTACATGTTATAATTCAAGGTTATTTGTTCATATACTTTAAAATCCGTCATTATTAAAAAAGAAATTGACTGCACAGTACTTGTTAAAAATTAACAAGTCAATATCTTCAAGCGTGACAAAAAAAGTGTGGAAAACTGATTATTTGAGTGAATTTTCCAAGTTCAAGGACCATAACTCTGCACAAAATCATTAGACCGGAACAAAATTCGAACTTGATCTGTAACTTGTCATGATAAAACTATATACCAATTATTAAATTAATATCTTCAAGCATGGCAAAAAAAGTGTGGAAAACTGATTATTTGAGTGAACTTACTAAGTCCAAGGACCATAACTCTGCACAAAATCATCAGACCGGAACAAAATTCGAACTTGATCTGAAACTTGTCATGATAAAACTATATACAAATTATCAAATCAATATCTTCAAGAACGAAGAAAAAAGTGTGGAAAACTGATTTGACGGACTGACGGTTGGACAGACAGACAGACAGATGGACGGAGTTCATCAAATCTAAAGTCCCCTTCGACTTCGTCGGTAGGGGACTAATTACTAAGCAGATGTGGTATGATTGCCAATGAGACAACTATCCACCAAAATTCATATGAAGTGGATGTAAGCAATTATAGGCAACCGTGTGGCCTAATATTCGGTTTCCTACAAGGAACAGTTACTGTCCATCATGTCCATACAACATTTCAAGCTCGAACCTAGCATTGTCAAAGAAAACCTGTGAATAAAGTTGACAAATACCATGAAAGATGATTTTTTGTCATAAAGTACTTTTAGCAATGATGCATTACAGCAAATGGAATAGAAAACCATAGGGCTAACATCTATGGTATGGACTCAGCAGTTAGCTCAGCTCTTAAATGTTTGTACATTTTGTACTAGGTTTTGTGTATTCCAAAAAATCTCTATTCGAGCATTACTGAAGAGACAATAATTGACCTTTTCTTATGTCAATGGGAAAAACCTTGAATTAGAAAGTGATACAGTATGAAGTGTAGACTTTTACAATTTTATATATGTTATGTACATTTACATCATTTTAATTGTTCAATTGACGCTATAAAGCATTGCCTTCTCGAATTGATAAGTTACGAGTAATGTGTTATTGTTGCTGTTGAAAAAGATCCCTTGAGGACGATCAAGACGATCAAAACCATCATTCCTGGCCAGAAGTTGTTTTGTTTTTTTACCATCAGCAGAAATTATATTCAAAGTCTGTTCCCTGTAATTTGCGGCAAAATAATTTCCGTAATTGTCTACTGTTACGCCAGAATCAGCAACATTCATCTTCCAGATTTCCTTTCCATTACTATCGCAGCATGCTATGAATTTACGTGTATCATAACATGTGTAACAAAACCTATCTTTATAAGTAGATAAATAACAGTCATCACTTGGAACATCTACTGGTATTGTTCTGATTCGACTTCCAACTGAATCAAATTCCATTATTCCTGTGTTTAATACAAGGACATACAGTCTGTCATCATGGTAAGATAAACCAGAGCAAGATTTACCCACATTTATCTTTTGCTTCACAACACCATCATCAATATTAACAATGTTTATTGTTTTGTCGTCACGACATGTTACGGCCACAGTATTCGTACTGATTATAGCAAGTCCAAAGGGAGACTTGCTGACATTGATAAGTGCCCTTCACTTGAATACACCAATACCATACTCTGATCTCCGTAGGTAAAAATCATTCTTCCATCATTGACAATAACACAATCTTGAATATATGATTTTTTGTCAAACTTAATCGTGCGTAGCAGTTCCAGTTTTGTCTCGTCAATATCTCTCATTGCAGCATGCATTGGTACATTAAGATGTGCTCTTTGTTGCTCCTGCTCAGTTAGGGAACGACCATTTGACTTCAAAAGGGGGGGGCATGGATTTTTCCTTGAAAAATAATCTGAATCCTAATTTGATAAAAAAAAATATTCTGGTCATACAGTTGATAAAAAAAATGGAGAATGTATCCCCATGGACACAGATGATGCCCCTGCTTGCATACATTATAAAGGGACATAACTCAAGAACGATAAACGTGACGCTACCCAAATTTGTACTTGATCTGAGTTTTGTGGTAATTAATACGTATTGTGTATAGGTTTCATAATGTTTGGTTGGGGCAAACTTAAGTTACAGAACGGAAACTAAAGATTTTGTAATTTTTCGATTTATAAAGGGGCATAACTCGATAATGGTTAAAGTGATGCCACCAAAGTTCAACTTGATCTGTGTTTTGTGGTAATAAGCATTGTGTATAAGTTTCATAACATTTGGTTGAGGCAACTTAAGTTAGAGAATGGAAACTAAAAATTTTGCATTTTTTTTCCATTTATAAAGGGTATAACTCGAGAATGATTAAAGTGACCCCACCAAAATTCAAACTTGATCTGTATTTTGTGGTAATAAGCATTGTGTATAAGTTTCATAACATTTGGTTGACGCGAACTTAAGTTAGAGAACGGAAACTAAATTTTTGTAATTTTTCCATTTATACAGGGGCATAACTCTAGAACGGTTAGAGTGACGCTACCAAAATTCAAACTTGATCTGTATTTTGTGGTAATAAGCATTGTGTATAAGTTTCATATCATTTAGTTACGGCAAACTTAAGTTAGAGAACGGAAACTAAAAATTTTGCAATTTTTCCATTTATAAAGGGGCATAATTCTAGAACCATTAAAGTGGCGCCACTAAAATTCAAACTTGATCTGTGTTTTGTGGTAATAAGCATTGTGTATAAGTTTCATAACATTTAGTTCAGGCAAACTCAAGTTAGAGAACGGAAACCATTTTTAGGACTTACGCACGTACACAAGTACAGACGGACAAGGGTAAAACTTAATGCCCCCTCCGCTATGGCGGGGGCATTAAAATTTTCTGAATCAAGAGTTTCCCCATACATTATAGTGTTAAATATTGAAAAAAAATTATTTGATTGCTAGCATCGAAAAAATAAAAATGTTCGCGTGAAAAAAAATCTAACCCCCTTTTGCAGTTAAGTGGTTGCTCCTTCATGAAAGCCATTTTGATGACTTGCAGTAGTTTAAAGATACTAAAGATGTCTCGATTACGCATTAGAAAACGTAGGCTGCAGCAGCGTGCTTACAGACGAAGAAAAAGGATTGAGATGTTAAGGATCACTACATTTCTATCTTTTCTGTTTGTTTCAAATGGTATTTCTTCCCCAAGGAGTATTTGGCAAAGGGAGGGGGTAAATGTTTTTTTTATTTCTAAGTGTATTTTTACAGATCTGAGACACTAGACAAACTTTACAATTTACCCCACACTTTTTTTAGTAATGAATTTATGAGTGAATCGTTGTTTGAGTAAAGACCAGTGGCAAATATTTCTGTGTACGTCCAGTCGATTCGGGAAGACCTTTTCAAATGAATTATGTGTTCAGCAATGATGATGCTTTGAGTCTTGATAAGGGGTTTATAAAGCTACGTAAAGTTTTTTCATAACAAATAAATATATCAAGTTTAGACAAACATTTCTGTAAAGAACTTTATTAATAATTGTTACATGTGTTATAAATATATATTTTATTCACAAATCGTTTCTTCCTTAAATATACATGATACATGTAAAACTAATGTTCTAAATGCTTAGTTTTGTGTACACTTAACCTACACAAGGCCTACATTGACTATTGACTGCATGAAGACAAAACATAATGTAAATTACATGTAAACATTGAGTTTTATCAACGGGAACGTAATTGTGTTTAGTTTACAAGCGAGTTACACTAACACAACACTGAGTTTAGGTCAATGTGAACACGGCCTTAGCAGATCCTGATATACATGTGGCTAGCACTCTTCATGTTTATAATTTAAGTACCCAGAGATAAGTTGGTAGGTCATATTTGTGATTCAAATGACGCGGTAAAGCCTGGCATACTTTGAAATACATGTTACAAGTAATGTTCTGCTGTTTTTGTCAAAGAACAAACCTTCAAGCCAATTTTTACGGGTTTTCAAAGGCTGTAGAAGTTGTTTTCTCTTCTTACCATCAGATGATACTATTTGCAATATGCCAGTACTGTATTCTGAAGCAATGAAATTTCCGTAATTGTCAACTGTGACACCGGAATAAGCAATGTCCCATCTCCAGACTGTACTTCCATTTTTATCACAACATGCTATGATTTTAGCATTATTATTACTTGTGTAACAAAACTTATCTTTATAAGAAGATATGTAACATTCATCAGTTGGAACGTCTATCGGTATTGTTCTGATTAGATTTCCAAATAAATCAAATTCCATTATCCCTGTCTTTGTGACGAGAACATACAAATTGTCATTGTTGTAAGATAAACCAGAACAAGGTTTCCCAACATTTATCTTTCGTTTAACAACACCTTCATCGATATTTACAATGTTTATTGATTTTTCTTCACGACAGGTGACGGCCACAGTATTGGTGTGTATCACAGCCAATCCAAAAGGAGATTTGCCAACACTGATTGCCCTCGACAGCTGTCCATCACGAGTATAAACTAATACATTACTTCTCACGATATCTGCAAAAATCATTCTCCCATCATTGACAATAATGCAATCTCTAATAACTGATTCACTATCAAAGGAAATCTCGCGTATTAGTTTCAGTTCTGTCTGGTCAATATCTCTGACTTCAGTTATTGGAACATTAAGCTGTGCTTTAAGAAGCTCCCAGGCTCCTACTTTAACTTGACAAGGATTTCTGACAACCTGTATTGTGCCAAAGCATTTCAAGTCAGATAACAAATGTTTTAGTTGTGAATCAGTAGATAATTCAAGAATTGACTCTTTAGCTACATCCTGGTCACATAAAGTTGAAATCCATTCTTGTTCTTCACGCAACTTTTCACCAACACTTTTTGTTGCTAAAAAGACTTGAACATTGGATAATGTTTCTTTAATCCGATGAATTGACTCTCCAAGACTTTTAATTTGTGTTTCTTTGTCCTTTAATTTTGAAAGTAACTTGTCTATTTCGGATATATTTTGGTCGCTAAAACTTTCTAACTGCTTTAACAAATCAGATTCCAACTCATCTAGAAGCATATTGATTTGTTTTCTTAAAGTTTTAATTTCCACTAAAATGGTTTTTCTTTGGTTTTTTATATCTTTAATATTTTGCTGTCGGTGAGTTTTAAGTTCAACAAGGGTATTAGCAAGCTCCTTAAGTCCTTTTTCTAAGTCAAACATCTCCGTTGAAGTTTTTGCATGTTGAGCAAGTTGTTCGATGGGTTTTATACACGTACATTGTTTATGATTTTCTGGTATACAAAGAGCACAGGCAGTGGAATAGTGATCTTGACAAAAAAAAGTTAATTTTTGATTATGTTCCTCACACTCCAGCTTTATTAATGAGGAAACTGATTCCACTTCTGCGTACTTACTAACTGGTATGGTCTGGTGTTTATTGCTAGCTTTGCTGACTTTATGGTGTTCCAAGCAAGAGGGGCATAGTCCATCATCACAATCAATACACCAGACAACTGCAATTTCTGTTGTATGTCTAGCTTCACACGGACCACAAAATTTAGCCTCAGATGCCATATTCTGAAATATAAGTATTCTACAATCATAAAAACAATAAAGGCATAACAGTGGTTCCAATTTACTGTTTTACTGGTCCCAATTCACTTCTTTGATAATACAGTCACATATAATATTCAAAACATGAATTTAAGGAATTCAATATTCATGATATTTGCATATAAACATGATTATCATGATTACGAATTCAAGAATTGAAATAAAGACAATGCTGACTGAATTTGATGAGATTTAAGATGATGCAAATCTAACGTACAAAAAGACTAATATTTATTAAAGGAATGACTGATCTATATACACACATATTGATTCATTCATCTGTACACATGCACTATGGCAATGTATGGTGTAAATTGAAGGTATATTGTATATTATCTTAAACACATCCTTGATCATGTTGATAATGAAAATAAAACCGCCAAAGATTCTCTTGTTTCTCATACAATGTCATATATTAAAAAAAGAAATTTAATGTATGTTTCAATATTTATTTATTAAGAATAATAAATATTATTGGTTTTCATCAAGCCTGCAACTTTTGTGGCTAAAGCAAGATATAGCATTATTAGCATTCCTTCATTCGGTCATTGGCGTCCACAAATATTCACTCTGTGGTCATGGTGGTTAAAGTTTTTGAAATTTTAATAACTTTTTTAAACAGTTAAACGTTAAAAAATCCTGGATTTCTACCAAACTTTGACAGAAGCTTGTTTATGATCATTAGATAGTATCCAGAAGTATATTTAATTTGTGAAAAAAAATTCCTGTTTATCCGCATTTTATTTATAAAATTAAAATGGACTTACTTTTTCTGCCAGTTAAGATAATTACATTCACTCTGTGGTTAACTTTTTTATAATTTTAATAACTTTCTTAAGGTTTATGATCCTTTCTGTACCATGTGAATTACGAAATTTTCAAACTGCAATAGTATCAAAACAGCAAAAATATTGAAAAATAGTTATGGGCCATTTTGTACATATACCAAGGGGAAACTTCGTACAAAGCATGATTATTTATTGTTTCATTGCATTTAATAGAAAAAGGGGATTTTTTGGCAAATAAACCCAAGATTTTTGTAGAAAATCCACAGACTTTAAATAAGAGAATTTTGTTATAAAATTTTAAACATAGACATGATAGATTACCATTACTCTCTTGTTTTTCTATGATGTGCTAGTCTTCATTGTTAACAAAAAGTTCTATACAACCTTTAAAATAAAAAAAACCTTGTGCTGAGTTACTAAAGTCGGGCGCACCCGAGAAGGTGTACTTGAATTGGTCCATTTTATATTTGTTTTAACCAATATCTATTAAATTTAATTGAATGATAGGACAGTTGGAGAGATTGAATGATTGAACAGTTGGAGGGATTGAATGATTGAACAGTTGGAGGGATTGAATGATTGAACATTTTATCAACTTGTTTTATGGAAATCATTGCTAGCACTAGTACTGCATGCAATAATCCTCTATCTACCAAGCACTGAATTGCTAAATACGAGATTACAAGGGGAAAGGCTGTGGATTTTCTACAAAATTTCCATATGTTTAGCATTGAATGAACACAAGGCTACATAATCCTTAATTAAAATATGCTGGATTTCTACCAAACTTGGACAGAAGCTTGTTTAGATGTCAGATCATAAGATAGTATCCAGAAGTAAATTTTGTAAAAAAAATCCTGTTTATCCTTATTTTACTTATAAAAAGACTTTTCTGCCAGTTAACATTTTTCAAATGTACATTCACTTGAGATGTGGTTAAAGTTTTAAAAATTTTGATAACTTTCTTAAACTATCCTAGTTTGTACCAAACTTTGACAGAAGCTTGTTTATGACCAAAAGCAAGACACATATATACATTGTAGGACACATTCTAACAATTTATCTGTTATTTTTGTGAGAGTACTAACTAGTGTTATGTGTAAAAGCGTATATAGGAACCTACAGCCGTACCAGGGGAATATAAGTAAGGGGGAAGGAAACCAATGATACTATGCTTGGAAGATTTCGTTCGAACTTCTCTGGGTTTGACTATAATTTATGACAAAATATCAGAGCTGTTCGAAAAATAATTTGTGTCATGCTATTGGTTTAAAAGTTTTGACGGAAGTATGACAATAAGTTATAACATGAATATTTATATATTTGAACTCTGTTTTTCTATCACTAAAAGGTCAATACACAGTTTTGTTTATCTAGGCGGCGTATTAATCACAACCACGCGCCACCGTCGTTCCTCCATTATACTGTTGTAGATAGTATAACCATTATCGACAGTGTTTTTTTTTATTAATTAATTTGTTTTTTCTGCTTTTTGCTTCTTATTTTTTGTGTGTGATCGAATTAATAGAAGATAGTTTGTCGTTAATCTGCAATACTTCATGTACACGCGGCCTTATGCTTGGTCCGCGGTGTATTCGACTGACTGTTTCATTTTACCAAGGATTTGATTTCACTATACAAATCCTGGATTTTACCATAGATGTGTGTGTTTTTTATACAGCTATGATTTTACGTACGGTTGTTATTTTCTCTCTTGTTACACTAGTCCGAAAACGTGCGCATTATCCTTTTTTTTCAAAGGTTTTTGGTGATATTTTCATTTTTCTTTCTTTATTTTTTTTTTTTGGGGGGGGGGGGGGGGGGTGCATTTGATAGTAAAAACGGTATATAGAAAATAAAATATAAGAAATAGTAAAATAAGCAATGAAAATATCAGAAAACAGAAATAGAAAGTATTGACTCCGAGGTCATAAAATGATTGGGCTATGATATTATAATTCATGCAATTTAAATTTTATGACTCCCTTTCTATTTCTTTTTAATAATCGCTGTAGCCGTAACCTTTGATATTGGTATTGTGTTTGAAGTTTAACACACGGTTTTCATTACCTTTATGGTTTATTCCTTTTCAAAGAATTTGTCAGTTTAACTGATTGTATTTTTTCTCATTATGAATTTAAAAATTTGAACTCTCGGTAGGATATGCAGATATACGAATGAATATATTTTGTATAAATTCATGATTTCCCTTAATACGTTATTTCATGATCATATCTTACTTTTTTAATACACGGGTTGGCAAGCGATCCGATAGGTATTTATTTTTCTTTCATTGGATAAATAATCCTACTTATTTGTATTGATGACGAAAAGGGATGTTACCACAGATGTAGGCCAGCCCTACATGCATTTGCTCCAGTTCCAATGTGTGTTTTCAAAATACCCTTGAAGAGTAATATATATGCATTGCTTTACATCATATTTTACCCTTTTTTCATCTTCAAAATGTTTCATATACCATTTCCGTTGCTGATCCAGGATTTAAAAAAAAAGGGGGAACCACTAAAAAACATCAGGAGTGGGGCATACAGTCTATATGCAATAGACATGTAGTCCCATAAGGGTGGGCGGGTCCACTTGTCTACCCATCCCCTCACCTCAATCCAATTATGTATGGATTAAGGGAGAGGGCGTAGAATGCGTACGCCCCCTTTAATTGGATAATATATCATTGTTTAGCATTAAATCGTACAAGCAATTCTGGACCGCCCCAAATCTTTACAAATTCTTTTGATTCTTGTTTTGAAAACACACTATCAGAATCGGAAACGAAAATAAAATATGAAAGCCAGCAACCAACGACAATCACCGAAATACAGCAGCACCTGTGTTGAAGACCCAGTGGCGGATCCAGAACTTTTCATTAGGGGGGCCCGCTGACTGACCTAAGGGGGGGCCCGCTCCAGTCATGCTTCAGTGATTCCCTATATAATCAACCAAATTTTTCCCACGAAAGGGGGGGGGGGCTGGATCCGCCTATGAGACCCATTGGTGTGGGTCTCATTGGGGTCTAAGCGTGACGCGGGATTGCCGATTTTTTATAAGCGTGACACGTGAAAGTCAAATTATTGAAATAATAACGGGAAATGAAGTCTAGCGGGATACGGGAAATGAGAATTGCTTACGTACATAGTGTAGGCGGGATACGGGAATCTGTCAAAACAGTAAGCGGGATCCGGGATCAGAACCACCCAATGAGACCCCCATTGGTGGCTATGGGCTGATTTCTGCACTTTGGTCGGGTTGTTGTCTCTTTTAACACATTCCCCGCTTCCATTCTCAATTTGATCCCCCATGACATGGGACAAACGCATACAGAACCTGGCAGGGTTAATAATGTTTGTTAGTGCCCAGTCCTCCCTGTGACTCGAGACAGTGGTCAATTTAATCCATGACCCACTCTTTGTGACATTTTAAAGATAAACAAAACTTCGTCAGAAAGACACAACAAAGTATATAAGTTCAGCACTGATCCTGATATGAAGCTGTTATCAGTCACAGCAAAACGGTAAACTACAGGCTCAATGCGCCTAAAATGCTGATCTTTTTTTGTTTCAACTCGTCTTTTATTGACATACAATATTTAAGCAATATTTTACACACCACTAAGCACCATCGATCATGTCACTTTGGTTTGAATTGGTTCAGTAGTTTCAGGGAAGCTTTTTTAACTAGACAATAGTCTCTGTCACTCACTTGGATCTACATAAACTGTTATCACAGAGATATGTCTCGCCTTTTTGTAATTTTGATAATGCAAATGTTGAAATTCAAATAGCAATACTTTCACAGGTAAGTTATGCAAATATTCAAAGTCGATGAACCATGACTGAAGGTACATGGCTAAACAATCTCCATGGAATGAGATGTGCCAATGCTAATACAACTGCATACCAAATACCATTGACTTATTAAAAGTCGTTCCCTTTAAACAAACCTAAACACAAACATTAACTTGTAAACTATGTAAAAGTTTCAAAGTCAATGAACCATGATCAGGGGTGGGGCTATATAATCTCCATGGAAACGATACTTGCAAATACCAATACATTTGCATACCAAATATCATTGACTTAACATTAGCAGTTCATCTTAAACTGATCTAATCACAAACTAATACATGTAAACTAAGCAAAAGTTTCAAAGTCAATAGAC